AAATGGCGCCGTGGCACTGTGGTAATAGAGTCACTGTAGTTAGGACGTGCGCGTAGCAATTAAATGTGAAAAAGAGATTTTCCGCATGGTTAAGGAACGGTTTTTTTTAGCGACGAAGTACTTTTCCGCATGCATTTAGAACATGAAATTACCAGGGTGACTTAGCATTGCATAATTATTTTACTTTTCCGCACTAGTGCATAGCAGTGATATGTATTTTCATGACCTAAAATGCGTCCAGAAAAAAGCAGTTCTCGCGCACCACTCGTGGAAAAAAATTTTCGCCTTCGGCGAGCATCCCTCTCCCCTTACAAACAAATTTATACAGTTTATACAGAGAATTCCATGTTAGTTTGCAATCGAGTGTCACTCTTAGATATTTGACCTCAGCGGCAAAACTGTATTCGGTGTTTAAGAGTCTGGGTGCTGTCCTGTCGGAAGTACCTTGTTTCCTCTTTCTTGTGAATAGGACCATTTCAGTCTTTTTGGGGTTAATGGACAGAGTGTACCTATTCCGTGCACCATCTTTCTATAATTCGAAGAGCATGTTGCATGCGTTCGCAAAGCGAGTTTTCGAATTTACCTCTATGCAAGATGACTATGTCATCTGCGTAAGCTATTGTGTAGTGGTTATTGTTTAGGCGGACAATGAGGCTGTCCAGAACCATGTTCCACAGGAGAGGTGATAGCACACCTGTGACCATGCCTTTAATGTTGACGTGCTTTTTTTTTGGAAAATCTTTCCTTAGTTTCCTAGAATTCTGGTGGCTAGATGAGCATTTTGCAACGATGATTCTGCCTAAACAAGTATCTGCATATTCGATGTTTCTAAAAATTTTATTTTCAAAAAAGAAAGAATTTGAATTACGCGCGTTTCCCAACTAGAAAAGACAAATCAAGAATCAATTTATTCAGCTCCACCAAGGTTCAACCTTCAACCTCCTATTCTTTATTGTGCTGTGTTGCCAGATGTTTAGATACCCTTCTACAAGTGAAATTTGTAAGTTGTTTTTCCAATTTTTTGTTATTGTTGTTGACTAAAAATGCATAATTACTTAATAATTGGATGAACTGAATTTTTCTACATATCATAATGATAAAAGTTTTCTTTAACTTTAAAATATTCGTCAAAAAATGTCAAAACTTTGAAGGCTTTTTTCTTAAAAATGGTTGAGTTTGGACTCTATGTTGTATAAACTTTTTTTGTTCAAAATGGGCCATATTTTCACGTGTTAAAATTTTTGTAGTCAAACCTGATACACCCTGTATATTGTTTTTTTTCCTATCCGCTGTCTCGCTTTTTCAAAGTTAAAATCTGGCAACTCTGCATGTCAGGGGGTTTGGTATAAAAAAAAATATTACAGATTCTGTATTACCGGTCTAATGTGGTCAGACCTTAAATATTGCAGAGTTCTGTTTGATCGGCTTCAATTTGAAATTAACGTAAATAACACTGATGACATTCCAAATTCCAAGTTCTACTCGATTGGCTTATTGTTCGAAAAAAAAAGTCGTAGATAAAATGTTGTACGTTACCTCTACTTAATGCGGTTTCGAGTTTTTCATTACAAAGTTCTGTATTACTAGCCCAATGTTGTCATGTCAGGCCGTTTGATATAAAAAAAAATATTACAGAATTCTGTATTACCAGCTCAATGTTGTCAGGCCTTAAAGGTACGAAAATATTGCAGAGGTCTGTTTTATCGAATTCAATTTGAAATTGACGTAAATGAAATGACATTCCAAGGCCTACTCGATTGAGCTAGCGGTGTTGCCACATGATACAATTCAATTTTTGGAAATCCCCATCTTTTGATTGGTTTATTAAATGAATGTGAAAACCAATCAAGAGCCGAGAATAATTGAAATTTGACTTTTAAAGCCAATCAAGAACTAGAAAGCGGCGTTTACAAATGTTGAAAATAATTTTAAAAAATGAAAAAAAAAACCCAAATTAAGCAAAAATTCCCCAAAAATAATAAATTTCCCTTGAAAATCCTTGGAAAACTTGTTTTTAAATAAAAGTTTCTGTCACTTATCTCGATTGGAAAACTGGAAATTTCTAGCAAAAAACGAAAAAAATCCAAAGTCCCGCACTTAGGGCCGAATTTATAGTCACTCCTTGAGGTTTTCTCAGACCTCAAGGAAGCCTTGAACGTTTAGAATTGACATGACTTATTTGTCAAATAGTAGCAAGTGTGCATTCTAAACTCATGATCTCCAAGGAAGAGTCAAGAAACGACAATAAATTCGGCCCTTAAAAATACTTTTTTCCATTTAAAAAATCCCGGAAAAGTGGAAAGTTCGCGGAAGAACCGGAATAAAAACACTTAAAATGGCCGACTGTCAAATGTCATTGTCAGGGCTTTGGAAATAACATTCCAAGGCCGACTTGATTGGAACCCGAGTGAAGTTGGCTACAAAGCAGTGTTGCCAACTTAAGAAAAATTGTATTTTAGTGAAAAAGCTGATTTTTGAAATTAGAAATTTCCTAAAAAGTTGTTTTTTAGTGATTTTTTGGCTGAAAATGAAGAAAACTCAAAGCCTCGTACCTACTTAAAATCGGTTTTCCCTGGAAAAGCAAAAAATCCAAAGGAAAACTTCTGAAGAGGACATTCCAAAGCCTTCTTGATGAAACTTGAGTTTTTGTCATTTACCCCATTTGGAAAACTGGAAATTTTTGGCACAAAATGAAGGAAACTCTAAGCCTCGTACTTAAAACCAGTTTTGCTGATTGAAAACGACCTGGAAAAGCGGAAAATCTGAAGAGAAATCAGGATAAAAACACTGAAAATGGCCGACCGTCAAAGCTAACAAATGACTTACTTACTTGATTGAAGTTAGCCACAAGCGGTGTTGCCACATTAAAACTTCCAGAAAAAGTATTTTAAATGGGATTTTGCTAAATATTGCATTTAACAATGAAAACTTTGATTAGAAAATAAAGAAAACTCAAAGCCTCGTACTTAAAACCAGTTTTCCCGACCAAAAAAGCCTTGGAAAAGTGGAAAATTCAAAAAAAAAAACCTCTAAAAAGGACTCTCCAAAGTCTACTTGATAAAACTGAATTTTTGTCACTTACCTCATTGAAAAAGTAGACATTTTTGACACAAAATGAAGAAAACTCAAAGCTTCGTACCTCAAACCAGTTTTTCCGACTAAAAACGGCCTGGAAAAGCGGGAAATGCGAGAAAAAATATAATATAAAAATACTTAAAATGGCCGACTGTCCAAACCTGAAAAACCATTTTAAATGGGATTTTGCTAATTATGGCATTTAAAACTGGAATTTTTTGTTGGAAAATGAAGAAAACCTAAAACCTCGTACTTTCACCAGTTTTCCCGACTGAAAACGCTTTGAAAAAGTGGAAAATCTGAGGAAAAACTGGACAAAAACGTAAACACGTCACTGCAAAACAGCCGACTAAAAGCGACGTTGCCACATGACATGATAACATTTTAAATGATTAAATTTAATTTAAATTTGTCAAATAAATAATTAATAACGATTATAAAACAATAAATTCCTTTGGAAACTTGTTTTCAATGAAAATAACATATTACAAGGCCTACTTATCGAGTATAAATGAGTAAGACAAAGACAACAATAAAGTAGTATTTTATTGCGAAAACATCAAAAGCGATTATACATGAGTTAGACAAAGACAGAAACAATGTAGGACGTTATAATTCAATTAAAACCAAACACAAAGGAAATAATTTGATAAAGTAGTAGTAGTACCCACTTAAATTGATAACAGAAGTACCACTAAATTAAATTGCTTATATATCATTCATATTTGAGTACCGTGTACTACTGGTCTGTTGCCTACTGGTCGTTTTCTTAATTTCAATCCGATTTTGATGTAATTAGGCTATAATCAGGGTTGCCAGACGTCCCAGTTTAGGCGAGACAGTCCCGATTTTAAGAGATATTTCCGAACCGTCCCGATTCACGAATTGAATACCAAATGTCCTCATTTTTAAAAATGTATGGAAATATATCTCGATTTCCGGCCGACAACAGTTTTTTAGGGTGCGTTTCCTACCTATATTGTTTTATTTTCCTATCCGCTGTCTCGCTTTTTCAAAGTTAAAATCTGGCAACCCTGGTAGAGGCAAATGATATTAGTATCCGAAAAGATAGCATGAGCAGGGCGACATAAGGATATGAACTATGTAGGGTACATAAAAATTCAGTCAAGAATTATTCCTGAAATAAGGCAGGTGTTGTGGAATCATTCCTCAGCTCTACAAATGTATCCTGCATTTCATCAGGAATGTCAGCAACATCTAACGAGGCTTGGAACGGGTTCCTTACTACTGCAGCTTTCTGTTCAGATAACTCGGAAATAACGCCCATTTCATTCTCAAGGGATTGAAGGTCAATTTTCTCTTTTAGATTCTCTACATTTTCTGTTTCTGATGCTTCAGCCATTATATGCATAACTATCTATTGTCCGTCGACTTTAATCTGATACTCGGACGGAATGTGAGCTGGTGACATTAGAACGCCAATGGTTACCTGACGTCATACCTGTTTTTGCCATATGAAACACCCCCTCGCTTCTCATACGGAAAGTGTCAGTTAAAAATCGACGAACAATATGTTCACAAACATGCGACTCACAACATAACACTCACAACCTGTGCTATGCCCTTCGTCCGTAAGACCAATGCAACGCTGCGCGGCTTTTGACTGAGGCGGAGGCTAAGGCGTGTTGTCAAATGCAGAAACATATATATTGGCATTGCGACCCCTCCAAAAACTCAATGCGACCCCCTTAGGGGTCGTGACCCACCGGTTGGGAACCGCTGCTCTATATCATTGCACCAAAAATAGCCTATTATTGCCATCACAACATGTTTTTAGCAGTTCTTTATATTTGTTTTGTAATGATGGCCTCTAGAAATATTAGAGCCAAAATGTGACTATTACTGGCTCTTGAATTGAAAGAATATAATTCTAAAAGCATTCAAGAGCCGCTAATAAATCAAAAATCACTTTCCAAACAAAAAATAATTTTAGTTTAAGGAAAATCCATTTAATAATGAACAATTATTTACAAATATTTAGCAGTTGCAGGCGACTGATGATAAATCGACCTCCACAAATCCAGCCTCTGTTTTTCTGGATTCACTTCCAGACGCAATTCATCGGCGATGTGAAGCGTGTTCAATTGACGCGCCATCGCCGGCTTCCAGACCAATCCGAACTCGTTGTCGTTTGGCGTGGGATTTCCGAATCTGGCAAAGTTGGTCCACAAACGGATCACGCGTCTCATGCTCACGTCTTCGACGCTTCCAGCGACTATTGGCACTTGGAAAGCGTCTTTGAATAAATAACCCAAGTCGTCTGCGTGACTGCAACCTGCAAACAAAGATTGAAATAATCACGATTTTATGTGAGACGAAGTCTCACCATTGTAGTCAACTTTCATTAGTCTTTTGATTAAATTCAACTGTGTATCTAGAGACATTTTGTAAAGATAAACTGGATAGGCTGAGGTTTGGGAATGATTTTTGACGCTAGCAATGATTCCTGTTAGGAAGGTGTAGTCTGACATTAGCTGAAAAAAGGATGTTAGTGTAAATTCATATACAATTTGTTGTATTTGAGTTACCGAGACAATATTATCATCAGTGTTTGGTCCAGAAAGGTAAACGTTGTGCAACTTTTCCAGAAAATCTCTCCTAATTTCTTCGTTTTTTTTCAAATTGATGTTGTAAGGTATAAAACGTTCTGGTACCACTTTTCTCTCATCCCCTTTCATTTTTCTAAGAAAATTAAATAAGACCCCTATAGAAATAATAGTTTTTTTGATTAGAAACTAATAGCCAAGAAAGCTTCAATTATTAAGTACCTTCTTTATTATTATAACCAAACATCATTGGTACTTTATTATAATCGCCAGACAAAATAATGGCAATAGGCTTTTTAGTCAAAAAAGCTGTCCTTCTTGAAGCTGGCTCGATTACTATGCCAATTGGACGCATGGAATTCCAGTCAAACCTCTAAAAATAATTATTTATGAAAAATTAACTGATAAAAAAATACTTACCGACAAATAAGCAGTTTGTATCTTAAATAATTCCTCAACAGTGAGGCTTTTGAGTACTGCCAGAGCCTCTTTCTCAGTAGAAACACTAGAATCGTGAATTTTCGCAATTTGAACTGCACTGTGATCGGTTTCGTCTGACCACGGACTCAAAGCTGACCCGCTTTGTAGAATTGCTTTATGGAACAAACCTCTAAAAAATAAAATGACTGAACTAGTTATTAACTGGATCCAATAATGGTTACCTGGATAGAGGCGAAAGTACGTGGTAATGTACCGAAGCTGCTCCAGCACTCTCCCCAAAAATTGTCACGTTTTCTGGATCGCCATTGAATTGCTGGATGTTGTTTTTGACCCAGCGCAAGGCTTCCACTTGGTCTTTGAAGGCCAGATTGCCAGGCACGTTGAAGCTGGGGTCTTTTAGACGTAGAAATCCTATTTTTGTAGAAACAAATACTTGATTAATGAAAAGTAAAAGATTTTCAGGGACTTTGATGAAAAGAAAATCTTTGACTAGACTCTCAGGAAAAGTATTTAGCTCAAATTCTTGATAATGAAGTTTGAATTGTTATTTTAGTTTGGTAAAACAAGACATTGAATCTAACTTCAAATTTACACATATTGTAACGTTTTCAATTTCTTGGCTAATAAGCTACCTTGTTTTGCTTTAGTAGATATGATTCCATATAGAACTACAATGAAATAAATGAATAAACAACTATCTTTTCTGTGCCCAGATTTTGTTACCTTGAGTACTGCCTTCTACTGAAAGTTTTTTTGGTGCAGGTTTGCAAGTTTTGTTAATTGATCTAGGAAGGTTTGATTCAGTACGGCAGGGCCCGCTGTTATTGATTAGAATCTTAGGAAAAGGAGTTAGTACCATCATCATCCCTGTTTACAAATCCAATCAATAATCTGAGGTTATGATAATAATTGTTGTTTACTCTTTGACTTTTCATTTCCATCATGTCATTGAACAGCTGTTTTGTCTAGGCGTTTTCTTTAGACCTGTTCTACCTTTTGATATATGTTCTATAGGCACATTTCAACATTCACCAGTCATTTTTGACACAACCGATTCTCAGTTCGTACTTTTGGGGTGAAACTGAACACGTCTTTTTCTATAATTTTCTTCAATGTCAAAATTAGAAGTTTGACAGATGAAAGTCTTCTTCCGAAATCTAAATGAAGAATCTGCCCCTTTTGATCTGCGACCTCACGCTGAGTAGTCGTCCGGTCTCGGGCCTCGGCCCTAATTATTTTTGGGGCGAGACTTTTTGGAATTTTGTGCCAGGGAGCTCAAGTTTTAGACTTATTTCTTGCTGATAATTGTCTAGAGTCGTCCCTTGGTCATTTTTGGATTCTGTTTCGGACTGTTCCGAGCAGCATTTGGAAGTTTAAGACTTCACCTTTGGTCTAGAGTATCCCTCAATTTGAGGGTCCTAGTCTCAGGCTATAGTTGAACAATCCTAGTCTCAGGCTATAGTTGGACAATCCTAGTCTCAGGCTATAGTTGGACAATCCTACTCTTAGGCTATAGTTGGACAATACTAGTGCTAGGCTGTAGCTGGACAGTCTTAGGCTGTGGTTGGACAGTTGCTAGGCTGTATTTAGAGAGATTCTAGACTGGATCTGGATTGCTCTCAGTTGGGGCTTTGGTAGCCATTCTTCAGCAACTCTCTTGGTACCACTCTGGCAGAACCACGTCGAGTTCTACGCTAAACAGATACAACGTGGATAGGACTCATGACTCACTTACCATACCATAGTCTATCTAATAGTGAGACCAAACCTGTAGATAACCTCACTTTGGAAATTTCTGGATTTTCACATACATTTCACTTGTATACATGTAAGTTGCACTTTTACTATTTAGGCAAATCATATATAAATCATCTGACGCCGAATTACGTCAGTACGTGCCCCTTAAATAAAATTCTAGAATTTTACCCTGAGGTTGCCCAAAGAATAACTTTCACCTTTCTGTGTTTAATTTGCCTGTTGGTAAAGTGTAAAGTGTTTTATTGTTAAGCGCTCCAATTGTACAAGTTTTGTTATAACATCAATAAGTAATCTTCCTAGTTAAGTCACATTTAACTTGGTGGCGCCCAAAGGTAAGATGTATACAAGGAACCCATAGACCCATGGCCTCCGGACTGATGCTGACTAGCCGTATGCAGTATAATTAGGCAATTGCCAAAACAAGTACGTTATAATATTATAGTCCAAAATATCTTTAAATAGAAAATAAATCTGGAGAATTCCATATTACCTAAAAGTCCAAGTCTGTAATTGATGGTAACCAAAACGACATCCTCTGATAAAAGATAGTCTGCTCCGTAAAGTTTTGACGAATTTGATCCTGCTGTAAAGGCACCTCCATGAATAAATACCATAACAGGCTTCAAATTGAAATGATCTGTTGGTAACTAGAGAACAATTACATTTCTATAATGAAATATCTACATTGTAGGGTAATTCTTACCTCTCTTGTAAATACATTTAAGAAAAGACAATCTTCTGTACCTTCTGTAACCTTAGTCATTTCGTTTGTGTGATAACAAGCACTACCATCTTTTGTACCATCTCTTACACCGATCCAAGATAGTGCAGGTTGTGGTTCCTTTAAAATTTGTGATTTTCAATAAGTATTCATCCAAAATTATTTCAACAGATTGAATTATTTTCGGTGTTGATTTAATTTAAGCTATTGCCAGATAAGCCACATAATTCTAAGACAAAAATTTAGCAATCACATATTATTGAAGGATTAAATTGAATTAAGATAATAATAAATCTTGGAATTTCAGGTTAGATTGTTTTAGGAACCCCTTTATATTTTCTACAAGTAAAATATGTAAAACTATTTCATGTGATAAAACTATTAGATGAATAGATTTCAAGTATAATTTTTACCTTAAATCTTAGTTCACCCACTGGTGGTTTGGCATAAGGAATGCCTAAAAACTTATAAAATTCATTTCCATCCAAATCGAGGCCTTGGCTGCCTTCGATAGCGCCTTGTAGAGTATTAACCACAGGTCCCATAGCAAGATTATTTAGGCGAACAACCAGCAACAAACTGAAAAGTATAGGTACCTTACAATAATAATTATTATCTTTCGATTATAAGTCATCAATAAAAATTGAAAGATAAACTCTTATCAAATGAGAAAATAATACAGTTTGAAAAATTAGATTTGCGTTGGGTAGGTAATCGATGATGGAAAAAAAAAACCTAGTTTCCATTTGTAAATTGTGCTCATTTCCTTTTCGTGCTGGTAATGCACTTTGCCACCCAAGGAGAATTAATTGATGAATATTGAATGTTGTTTTAGTGGAATTAAAATAAAGAATAACCAACTAATGTCGTTATCCACAGACCGGTTTCGAAGTTTTCCCTCAATAATTGCTCCTTAGCATCCAGAACTTACTTAAAATTAAAGTAGCCTCTTAAAGTCAATAATCTGTTCTACAATAATTTTACCATTTCTACACACTAGTGGAAATCATGGTACATTTTTTCGGGAATTACATCAGGAATACATGGAAATCACTTGGGAGTCCCTGGGAATAACCTGGAAATTGCTAGGAATCTCCTAGAACTCCTATGGGACAAAAATTTTGGATTTTTTTCAAAACATTTTCAATCTTCAATACAATATAAGATACTAAAGATAAAATTTCCATGTATTAGGGCTTTTATTGAATGGCTTAAATTTTTTATTTCATCTATTTATTTATTTATTGTGTTTTCGGATACAAACAGAATATAATTCCACTGCAGTACAGTGAACAAAGCAATCATCAAAATACAAAAATAACTAATTCCATACCCAGAGAAAGAATCTGCTAAATCACAGGACGCTCAAAACTGCAGAAATTATAAACCAGAGATATACCTACACAAAACTACCAAAAATCTATCTACCAAAAGACTGAGGAAATAACCTTAAGAAATTTGGGGTGATTTATCAATTTTTCAATTTTTCTGAGTGCCTTTTTTCATAGATTTCGGCTTCGAATCTGAGAATAATTTAGTGTATGGAGTTTAGGGTATGTTGATTGACCATTAGAATACAAAATCTCGACAAAAAAAAAATTGAAATTTCATCGTTTTAGTAAGAAGGATCCTTATGATTTAGATTTTGGAAAACTTTGAAAGGTCATAACTTTTTTTCTATTATAGGTAGAAAGCTGAAACTTTTACTGAATTTTATCCCTTTCAAAGGACTACAATCCCTGGAAATTTCAGTTCATTTGCATGTATAGTTCCTGAGATAAAATCGTGTTAAGCAATTTGGGGTGATTTATCAATTTTTCAATTTTTCTGAGTGCATTTTTTCATAGATTTCGGCTTCAAATCTGGGAATAATTTAGTGTATGGAGTTTGGACGATATTAATTGACCATTAGGACACAAAATCTTGACAAATTTTTTTTTTAAATTTCATCGTTTTATTAAGAAGGTACCTACCTTATGATTTAGATTTTGGAAAACTTTGAAAGGTCATAACTTTTTTTCTATTATAGGTAGAAAGCTGAAACTTTTACTGAATTTTATCCCTTTCAAAGGACTACAATCCCTTAAAATTTCAGTTCATTTGCATGTATAGTTCCTGAGATAAAATCGTGTTAAGCAAATTGGGGTGATTTATAAATTTTTCAATTTTTCTGAGTGCCTTTTTTCATAGATTTCGGCTTCAAATCTGGGAATAATTTAGTGTATGGAGTTTGGGCGATATTAATTGACCATTAGGACACAAAATCTTGACAAAAAAAAAAATTGAAATTTCATCGTTTTAGTAAGAAGGATCCTTATGATTTAGATTTTGGAAAACTTTGAAAGGTCATAACTTTTTTTCTATTATAGGTAGAAAGCTGAAACTTTTACTGAATTTTATCCCTTTCAAAGGACTACAATCCCTGAAAACTTCAGTTCATTTGCATGTATAGTTCCTGAGATAAAATCGTGTTAAGCAATTTGGGGTGATTTATAAATTTTTCAATTTTTCTGAGTGCCTTTTTTCATAGATTTCGGCTTCAAATCTGGGAATAATTTAGTGTATGGAGTTTGGGCGATATTAATTGACCATTAGGACACAAAATCGTGACAAATTTTTTTTTTAAATTTCATCGTTTTATTAAGAAGGTACCTACCTTATGATTTAGATTTTGGAAAACTTTGAAAGGTCATAACTTTTTTTCTATTATAGGTAGAAAGCTGAAACTTTTACTGAATTTTATCCCTTTCAAAGGACTACAATCCCTTAAAATTTCAGTTCATTTGCATGTATAGTTCCTGAGATAAAATCGTGTTAAGCAAATTGGGTTGATTTATAAATTTTTCAATTTTTCTGAGTGCCTTTTTTCATAGATTTCGGCTTCAAATCTGGGAATAATTTAGTGTATGGAGTTTGGGCGATATTAATTGACCATTAGGACACAAAATCTTGACAAAAAAAAAAATTGAAATTTCATCGTTTTATTAAGAAGGTACCTACCTTATGATTTGGATTTTGGAAAACTTTGAAAGGTCATAACTTTTTTTCTATTATAGGTAGAAAGCTGAAACTTTTACTGAATTTTATCCCTTTCAAAGGACTACAATCCCTTAAAATTTCAGTTCATTTGCATGTATAGTTCCTGAGATAAAATCGTGTTAAGCAATTTGGGGTGATTTATCAATTTTTCAATTTTTCTGAGTGCCTTTTTTCATAGATTTCGGCTTCAAATCTGGGAATAATTTAGTGTATGGAGTTTGGGCGATATTAATTGACCATTAGGACACAAAATCTTGACAAAAAAAAATTTGAAATTTCATCGTTTTATTAAGAAGGTACCTACCTTATGATTTAGATTTTGGAAAACTTTGAAAGGTCATAACTTTTTTTCTATTATAGGTAGAAAGCTGAAACTTTTACTGAATTTTATCCCTTTCAAAGGACTACAATCCCTGAAAACTTCAGTTTATTTGCATGTATAGTTCCTGAGATAAAATCGTGTTAAGCAAATTGGGGTGATTTATAAATTTTTCAATTTTTCTGAGTGCCTTTTTTCATAGATTTCGGCTTCAAATCTGGGAATAATTTAGTGTATGGAGTTTGGGCGATATTAATTGACCATTAGGACACAAAATCTTGACAAAAAAAAAAATTGAAATTTCATCGTTTTATTAAGAAGGTACCTACCTTATGATTTGGATTTTGGAAAACTTTGAAAGGTCATAACTTTTTTTCTATTATAGGTAGAAAGCTGAAACTTTTACTGAATTTTATCCCTTTCAAAGGACTACAATCCCTGAAAATTTCAGTTCATTTGCATGTATAGTTCCTGAGATAAAATCGTGTTAAGCAATTTGGGGTGATTTATCAATTTTTCAATTTTTCTGAGTAACTTTTTTCATAGATTTCGGCTTCAAATCTGGGAATAATTTAGTGTATGGAGTTTGGGCGATATTAATTGACCATTAGGACACAAAATCTTGACAAAAAAAAAATTGAAATTTCATCGTTTTATTAAGAAGGTACGTACCTTATGATTTGGATTTTGGAAAACTTTGAAAGGTCATAACTTTTTTTCTATTATAGGTAGAAAGCTGAAACTTTTACTGAATTTTATCCCTTTCAAAGGACTACAATCCCTTAAAATTTCAGTTCATTTGCATGTATAGTTCCTGAGATAAAATCGTGTTAAGCAAATTGGGGTGATTTATAAATTTTTCAATTTTTCTGAGTGCCTTTTTTCATAGATTTCGGCTTCAAATCTGGGAATAATTTAGTGTATGGAGTTTGGGCGATATTAATTGACCATTAGGACACAAAATCTTGACAAAAAAAAAAATTGAAATTTCATCGTTTTAGTAAGAAGGATCCTTATGATTTAGATTTTGGAAAACTTTGAAAGGTCATAACTTTTTTTCTATTATAGGTAGAAAGCTGAAACTTTTACTGAATTTTATCCCTTTCAAAGGACTACAATCCCTTAAAATTTCAGTTCATTTGCATGTATAGTTCCTGAGATAAAATCGTGTTAAGCAATTTGGGGTGATTTATCAATTTTTCAATTTTTCTGAGTAACTTTTTTCATAGATTTCAGCTTCAAATCTGGGAATAATTTAGTGTATGGAGTTTGGGCGATATTAATTGACCATTAGGACACAAAATCTTGACAAAAAAAAAAATTGAAATTTCATCGTTTTATTAAGAAGGTACCTACTTTATGATTTAGATTTTGGAAAACTTTGAAAGGTCATAACTTTTTTTCTATTATAGGTAGAAAGCTGAAACTTTTACTGAATTTTATCCCTTTCAAAGGACTACAATCCCTGAAAATTTCAGTTCATTTGCATGTATAGTTCCTGAGATAAAATCGTGTTAAGCAATTTGGGGTAATTTATAAATTTTTCAATTTTTCTGAGTGCCTTTTTTCATAGATTTCGGCTTCAAATCTGGGAATAATTTAGTGTATGGAGCTTGGGCGATATTAATTGACCATTAGGACACAAAATCTTGACAAAAAAAAAATTGAAATTTCATCGTTTTATTAAGAAGGTACCTACCTTATGATTTAGATTTTGGAAAACTTTGAAAGGTCATAACTTTTTTTCTATTATAGGTAGAAAGCTGAAACTTTTACTGAATTTTATCCCTTTCAAAGGACTACAATCCCTGAAAACTTCAGTTCATTTGCATGTATAGTTCCTGAGATAAAATCGTGTTAAGCAATTTGGGGTGATTTATAAATTTTTCAATTTTTCTGAGTGCCTTTTTTCATAGATTTCGGCTTCAAATCTGGGAATAATTTAGTGTATGGAGCTTGGGCGATATTAATTGACCATTAGGACACAAAATCTTGACAAAAATAAAATTGAAATTTCATCGTTTTATTAAGAAGGTACCTACCTTATGATTTAGATTTTGGAAAACTTTGAAAGGTCATAACTTTTTTTCTATTATAGGTAGAAAGCTGAAACTTTTACTGAATTTTATCCCTTTCAAAGGACTACAATCCCTGAAAATTTCAGTTCATTTGCATGTATAGTTCCTGAGATAAAATCGTGTTAAGCAATTTGGGGTGATTTATCAATTT